ATTTGGGATAAATCAGTCAAAAAACATTTACATGATCATTCATGTTGGGCATAGAGAAGCCATTGTACTGATCAATTAGGCATTCGGCACGTTTATTGTATTCGTCTCCTATGCCTAGCCAACCCACATTCCAGTTACCATCTTTGTCATATTGTATTCCTGTTTATAGTATCAAAGAAATAAACTTAGATGAAATGCTTTATTTCTTTTTCTTTTTTGAAAAAAGAATTGTTTTTTTTTACCGATAGAGTCAAACCCATGCATAAACTCATGGCCGAGATCTGTCGCTCCAAAATTTAAAGCCCTATACAAAAACATAAACGAAATATTTAGTCAAGTTATAATCGGTATGTCGTTTTTTGGTAAACTTACTCTAAGCCCAGATTGTAGAATGGAAACTGCAGAATGGCTTGAGGTATTGCTGCATTATAAAGTAAAAAATAAAAATTAATATTCTTATTCATTTGGCGATGTTGATTTCTGAATACTTACTCATTGTGTTCGTTGGATAATCATTTTTTGCATTTACTTCGGTTGGCATCATGCCCCAATCCATATCGTCAGTAGATGTGAGTGAGTTTAGCTTTCGATTCATTCTCGAGCCCCGTAGTCTAATGATGTTTTCCAAGAATGAATTTTCGTTGAATTTGATGTGGCCAAAATACGCATTAGTTTGGGTGTCATTGAAAATCCATTCCGGAAAGCCCACATTCATTTTCATGGCTTGCGATTTTTCTAGTATTCGTGCTTTTGTCTCATCGCTGAGCCAGTCGCTTTTTTCAACTAAATCGTGAAATGATGAGCGAATCTCATCCATCATTCGTTGTACTATCGGTTTCGTTGCGCTATGGAAATCTGGCTGTGCAATTGCATAGCTCATGATGATTCCCATGAGCTCATTCACTTCGTTTGCACAATGAGCGGATAAATGCTGACTGCTTACATCGTAATGATCTTCGATGAGATTCACCATTTCGTTGACAATTTTCCACCAAATGTACAATGCTACGTCGGTTTTGCTTGCACTTGAAATGAAGTCATTGACATCGTCAAAATATTTTCGACTGTCTTCATTCCAAATAATTAGGCGATTTTCAATGTCTGTTTGAGCTGGTTTGTTCAAGATAATTTCGACAAAATTTAACGCTTGTTTTCTTCCATCCAACATATTTGCATCGGTTGCATCATTCATTTTGTGTGACAGCTGTTGTTGAAATGAAAGAATGTAAAGAACATTTTCAAATAAGTCAAATCGCTTCGAGAAGATCAAATTGAATACGAACCATAGTTGTAAATTTTTTATCAATTTTGAGAATTCGCTTAGCCAACCCATCAATCACATCGTCGTTAGAGTACGGGTGCAAGAAATCAATGTACTTTTTTATTTTCTCACTGGTAACTGCTTCACTCGCTGGCTTTCCGAATTTGAACTCTTTTTGGTTAACATTTGTTGGATGTGGTATGATATCGAATTCGAAGATGATGTCAATATCAAGCGTTTTCTTCACTTTGGCAATGGTTGTAATCCAGTCGAATCCATCAAACGAAATACTTTTGCCTTCAATTATCATTGAAAGTATGTCGGGAAGTCCGAATCGTTTCGAAAGATATTCCTCCACCAATTTCTTTCCAGATTCAGCTTGTTTGCCTATAGAATTGTGTATAATGTTCATTGTTTATGATTATTAAAATTAACAAAATGTGACTAAGACTTGATACTGTATATGATGAGCAATGAAAGAGT